TGACATTGAAGACTGAAGTAATGATGCTGAAAATTCAGCTTTGCATCACAGAAATTAATTACATTTTAAAATATATTACAATAGACAACAGTTATTTTAAATTGTATTACTATTTCACAATATTAATGTTTGTACTGTATTTTTGAGCTCATAAATGCAGCCTTGGTAAGCATAAGACACTTAAAAACATTGACAAATCGTATTTTTTCCAAACTTTTGACAAGTACTGTACATAGCCTTACATAGGGCCTGTCTTGGAAAAGAAATGTCCTCAGGCAGCCTGAGATAAACATCATAAAGACTCTTTGTAAAGTAGTCCTTCATTGAGTTATGCAAAGCTGAATTTTTTTATTTATTTCTATTGAAACACATACACACAACATCATAAAGACTCTTTGTAAAGTAGTCCTTCATTGAGTTACTGCTGTAACAAACTGTACAATGAAACCTTATTTCTCAGTCTTCCAGTCAGACACAACTGTTACTGTATTTCTTACCTTAAAGAACCTTCACCCTTAAATAAAGGAGTGTACATGTGCAACTAATTTGATCAGATGAGTCAGGATATGTTGGCAGAATATGCTGGAACAGAGAAATTATTCATAGAGTGGCATTCTTTTAATTTCCATGTGCTCTTAAAAGCTTATACGGTATGAAGACCAATTAACAATTTTTTACTGTTTTAAGAGCAGTTTTATTACTGCAATTCCACATAATAAGTACGAACACATGCTCTGTTATGGCTTGTGACGTCTCTGTTAGATTAAGTACATTAAGGCAGTTGCTTAAGTCTGAGTCACTGAGCCTACACACACACACACACACACACACACACACAGACAGAGCTCTTGAACAGATATCACAGGGTGAGTTGAGGACAGAGCGATGTCAACACTTACTCATCTCCCTCTCTCTATCTCTGTCCGGTTTTCAGTGTATGGTGTAAATTGTTGTTTTGAAGCCCAGTCTGCTTAGTCTGGTCAATCTGCTCAAATGCATTTTATCATAGACAGCAAATGCAAAGTAGCAATTAAATGCAAGAGGAGCAACTAGTATCCTTTAATCTCCACAGTACAACATATGGCTCAATTTACTGTTATAAAATACTGAAAAAAAAATATTTCACTACTTTCAGATATTCTGAGTGTTAAAACTTTCTTGGCTGATTTAAGAAAATGTGCATGATATGCAGCAAAATAAGACTAAAGAAGGGTATTGTAATAAATAAAGAGGGGATTTTGCATTAATATTATTTCCTCATTTTTGAAAAGTAAATTGTTCGTCATAAGACTTCCATGAGACAACTTGTCAATTTGCACCTTTTTTTTTTTTTTTTTTTTTAAACATGTTTCATGAACGATCCTTGCTCTAATAATCACAGTTATGACATAATGTTATTGAGATCTCACACAGTGGCTGAACTCCAAACATTAGTGTTCATGTAAATGTCTGTTACTGTATGTGCGTGTGCTCCATTAGACCTGTTTTTCACCTCCAGGTTCACCGCCAAAGAGCAAATTATGAGAGGATGACATGTTCCTCTATTTTCAATTTGTAACAAAGCTCCTGAAAAAAAAAAAAAATTAGGCATATTAGTTTTTCCTGATTTCTCCTCACCTATAGGACAATTTACATAAAAAGCGGCTTATTTATTTATTTATTTTTTAAATGTACTGTAGAATTTTGTGTGTGTCTTTGTACAGGTCAATGCAATCAGACATCGGAAAACAGTCCATGCATTCAGAAATTAAACACAAACTGGAAACTCAAAATTGGCTTCTCTCTTTTAAACTGAATGTTTTCATGACCTCACTCTTCTTCCATGTCTTGGTAACACTGTAGCATTACTTTCTTCTAAGCAAGAGCCATGCATGCAAGTTAATGAACCAGTATGCCAAGAACTCCAGCTCATGGCTGATAGATCTGTTTGATATCAAAGAAAGGTGCAATAATGTGAGGCTGGAATGACATGTGAATAAATGATGAAAATGTTTTGGTGAACTAGTTTAAGTGATGTTGTGTTGCATTCGCTGAGCTCTTGTGCTTTCAGAGGCTGTAGCGGAACCTTATTCTTCCTGCCTCCCATCTTTCTCTCTGTCTGTCACTGTGGGCTTCTGATCCTTGTGTAATATCATTTTATTCACAATTATCTTATAAGGCACAGCAATGTGCCACCATATATTGTTCATGTCTAAAATTGATGTGCTGTGTGACACAGAGCTGAGGACAAGATGTTTTCATTTTTTTTCTACCATTACAAACTATTAGTTAATATTTCCCCTGGAACAACATCAAAACATACTAACTGAGAACATACTGTAGACATACACAGACATGTGAAAAAGAATGTACACCTCTTTGAATTCTATTGTTATATATATATAAAAGGACATAACAAATCATCTGGTCCTTAGAAGGTCTTAAAATACAACCTCAGATGAACAACAACACATGACATATTACATTTTGTCATTATTTATTTAACAAAAATGAAGCCGTGTGGAAAAACTAACTACACCCCATGATTCAATAGCTTGTAGAGCCGTGTTAACTTAAAGTAACAATAAAGTAACGGCAATAACTTAAAGTAATTGGTTTCTGTATGACTTTATCAGACTCTCATATCATTGTGGAGGAATTTTGAGCCACACTTCTTTACAACATGGCTTCAGTACATTGAGGTTTACGGCATCTGTTTACGCACAGCTCTCATAAGCATTTCAGCATTCAGGTCTGGACTTTGACTGGCCCATTTCAACACCTTGATTGTTTTCTTTTTCAGACATTCCGTTGTAGATTTGCTGGTGTGCTTGAAATCATTGTCCTGTTGCATGACCCAATTCGGCCAAGCTTTAGCTGTCGGACAAATGGCCTCACATTTGACTATGCAGAATACCAGAGGAGTTCATGGTCGACTCAATGACTGCAAGGTGCTCAGGTCCTGTGGTTGCAAAACAAGCATCATCACCTCTCCCTGTATTTACCTAGTTCTAAGACCCTCTAAGCCTAAGGACTAGATTTATTGTGTCCTGACACATAAAGCCATAGGATTCAAAGAGGGTGTACTGTCTTTTTCACATGACTGTATGAGTAAATTAAGAATGTCCTTAGGTGTCTTGAAAAGTATGTGTGATGAGATTCAGCAAACTTCTGGAAATTGATTTGTCCCCAGAGTATATTAAGTTAATTAAAACATATTTTCATTAACAAGACTTCTCTTATCATTATATCCATATACAGTATGTGTTCTGGAGGGGAAAGTTAGCTATGCAAAATTGTTACGTGGTAACAGTCTGATTTGCCTCTTAAACAAGTGTAATATCTACTAACCAGACCCACAATGCATTGTGTCCTCAGATGGCCCCTTACAGCGATTTCATAAGTGCATGTGTGACGCATGTCTGACGCTCAGAACATAACCCAGGCTAATCCCAGACTGCTTAATCTCAGTTGTATCCCCCCAAACAGGTTTAACACCATAAACCGATAGGGCCTTACTATGGCCAATAAGTCTCGTGGTAACTGTGTGTCTTGCACGTCTTGTCAGATTTCTTCCTTTTTGTTTTAGCATTTATATATAGAGTGGTTGCCAAAATTATTAGAACACTATTTTCACCAGCTAAGCAAGGGTTTTAAGTCAGTTATTTCTGTCTTTTGCTGTAGTGTGTCAATAGGAAATATCAGTTTACATTTCCAAACATTCATTGTGCCATTAATTGTAATAATTGAAAAATCTTGGAGACGTTGCCATAAATCCAGAAGAACTTTGGCAACGTCTCCAAGATTCCTCAAGAGACCTACCTGCAAAGCTACCTGAAAAACTATGCGCAAGTGCACCTAGGGCAAAAGCTGCTTTAAATGCAAAGGATGGTTGCACCAAATGTTGATTTAATTTAGTTAATAGAAGTTAATTGATAAAGAAAATCTATTTACATTTACATTTAGACATTTAGCAGACGCTTTTATCCAAAGCGACTTACAAATGAGGACAATGGAAGCAATCAAAATCAACAAAAGAGCAATGATAAGCAAGTGCTATAAGTCTCAGTTAGCTTAATGCAGTACACGTAACAAGGTTTTTTTTTTTTTTTTAAATCAAATAATAAATAAAAACAAAACAGATAGAATAGAAAAAGAATAGAGCAAGCTAGTGTTAGAGGCCTTTTTTGCTTTTGTTAATCAGAAGTCAGAAAGTCAGAATTATAATTGTATAATAAATCAAAAGAAAACAAATAGATAGAATGCAAAAAGATTAGAGAAGCAAGTGTTAGGTTTTTTTTACGAAAACAAGCAGTTAGTAAATAAATAGAGTGCAAGTCTAAAAGGAGCAAGTTTTTTTTTTTTACATTTTTTAAAATAAAGAATAGAATTAGAATAGAGAGTGCTAGAGTTAGAGGGTCAAATCAAGAAGGTAAAGGCATGGGGGTGCATTTCTACATAGTCTCAGCCTCTTCATATTCTGTATATTTCGCTTTGCTTTCTGATTTCTAAAAATTATGATCGCAACGTTTTCCACTTTTCAGTATTTTTTACATAATGGTCTATTGTAGAATAATCTACTTCAGAAAACTCTGCCCCTTAAAAGGCTTATAAAAACAAAATGAACTGTGATTAGATGGTTTACAAGTGAGTCAAATTGTCTCTTTCTTTCTAAAAATGCATTCAAACAAGGCTTTGTGCATATGAAATGTGTACACCACAATGAAGCAGTAAATAGCAACAGGATATGATTTCAATCTCCAGGGTTTGCATGTGTCTAAACGGAAGCGAATGAAGAGACAAATCTCTTGCAGTGTTATTGTTAATTAAACTAAAACTATTAAACATTCTTTAGTTAATTGATAAAGCTAAAATAAATAATAATGCTAAAATAAAATAATCAGATGAAAAACTTTTTTTTAATTTTTTTTTATTAAAAATTGAACATTAGAAATATTGCCTTGGCAATTAACTGAAGTACTAAAATTACTAAACGAAAACAGAAATAATAGTAAATTTAAGCTAAATAGAAATGAAAAATAATAAAAATGACAAAAAGCACGTAACAAAAATGCAACCATAAAAATAAAATAATTACTAATAATTACTAATACTAATCACTAAAACCGAAAATGTAAAATTAAAGCTAATTAATAATAACAGTAAATATTATTATAGAAATAAATTAATAAATAAAATGATCTAGTATGACCTTATAGTTGTCGGCCAGATTCATAGCAAGACTATTTTCTACTGAAATGAATTTTTATAGGATTTGTTGTTACAGATTTGCAGTTAAAAATATGCCATTCTGTAATATTCTGACCCTAAACATGGACATAAAAAGTGAAAGTGTGTTTTCATATTACCTGTGTGTGTTCGGAGGTGTGCTTTGAGATGAGAGCTCTTGGTGTAAGTCTTATGGCAGCCTGGGTATTCACAACTGTGAACCGTGGCTTTCCTCTTCAACACCCCCCTCCGCATGCGCTTCCCCCCCAGACCTGCAGGGGGCACTGTGGAGTCGTGCACCATGCTCTGTGTGGACGGATAGTGGCTGGCCGGCTGCCTGTGCACGTAGTTCACTTGCGGTTGGTAGAGTCTGGGCTGCGAGTAGTTTTGGATGAAGTTATATTGATGGTGTGGAGGAAACACCAGTGCGTCCATGGCAATCCCAGACGTCTGGGAAGGGAAGGGTATCAAAGGTGCAGGCTGAGGATAGTGTCCAAAATCCCACGACTTCATCTTCCCCATGCTGTTTCTCTCATTTTCTCTGTTGATGTCATTAGCAATAGGGAAACTACTGAACTGATGGGGGTTTTCTGCTTGTGAGAACGATTTTGCCACTTGCTGCTGCTGCTCCAAATATCCTCCATTAAAAAGGTCAGGCAATGAGGAACTTGCTTCATGAGGAAGCAGCTCAGCCAGAGAACTTGTAATGGTCACTCGGTGTCTGTTTGATCTTGACTCCTGGACCTGGTAAAGATCAGGACTGTGAACCTGGTCCTGCATCGGCGGCCGCTGGGAAGTGTAGTTTTGAGAGTTGGACCGTCCAGGTGATGCGCCGCCCCAGTCAGACAGCAGGAACTCCATATCCCAGCATCCCTCACTGTCATCATGGTTTTCATTTGACAGAAACTGAGAAGGTTTATAGCTGCCAGTGCTTTGGTGTAGATCCTTGGAGTCCAGATCCAAGAAGCCTTTTTCAAACTTCCAAGCCTTCGGAATAATCAAATATTAAAAAATTTATGTTGACATTTCTTGATTAACCATTTTGAATTAAATATGTGAATTTCTAAATATGTTAGTTTCTAAACCACAACATCTCCCTTCAGTTTTTTTCTCTTTTAGGGGATTTCTTGGAGAAATGACAATCATGTTTGTTATGCAACTAGTCAGCTGTCATAATGGAAGATTATATCATAAGATTAAAGTCACTATCAAAATGAACAGTTACAATTGTAATTACCATAAAAACAGTAAATAAACCAAGTTTGGTGAGATAAAATATCTGAAACAAACATACCTTCATGTTTTCGGAGGTGTTGCAGAAGTTTGAAAACGAAGGCAGTACAGCTTGAGTCACAGCCATTCGTTTGGTGCTTTTAGCATTTATTATCGAAATATCTTTCTAATGTCCCCAAAAGAGGCAAATAAATGTGTCGTCTTTTGTATTTGTCCAAAAAGAGTCTTAGATGTGCAATAGGCAAAGGACAGGAACCCAGAAATTAGTGTTAAAGATATTTACAAAAAAAGTTCACGGTGGCATTAATGCTAGTTACCCTTTCCCTCTCTTTCTTCCCCCCTCTCTTTTTCTCTCTATCAGTGATAAACTTACGTTTTAAGACCCTGACAGTTGTGATTGTGGGTGGAGTTTAAATTTGAGTCCAAAAATTTGAAAGTAATTTTGAGTCATTGCAGTTCAGCATGTTAAACTCAACCAAAATAATAGTAGAATGAAGCAATGCGGATAAACACACTAAATGAAATTCTGGTATCAAAACACTTTATTTATCATATCACCTATTTTAATTCTAGTGAGCCATTTGGAGAGGGGAAAAAAAACCTTTATCCAAAAATATTCTTCTTATGACTGTTCACTCTGATATTTGTTTATGAGGGCATTTTAAAACTATTAATATATTATATATTAATAGTTTATATATATAATATATTATATATATAATATATATATTAATTCTATAATTAAATAATACATATTTATGAAAAAAAATAAATGCAGTTGTTAATAATAAATTATACATGCAGTAGATTAATCAGCCAATAATGGTCAACATAAACTTAAATTTGTTTAATATAGGCTAATATTTAAAAAATAATTTTAGTTAAATAATGTTGAAATGAAATTTAAATAAATGTCATTGAAATATAATTAATGCTTTTAATGTATAAAGTATGATAAATGATTATATGTTATGATATAGAAAGCTAAGGTGTGTTGAACACCATTTGCAAACAGTATCAAGGGTGTTAAGTGAGCTGAAGTGGAATATACAGCGTCTACATTTACACTCAGAGCTCTAATTTCATGCAATACATCTCCTGTGAAACAAATAAACACACGTCAGTGTCTGTGTGAGTGTGCGATTCTCAGAAGGCCGGTGTTCAGTAGGTGATTATGTTCTGGAGAGCAGTTATCAGTGTGGTTAGACCGATGAGAGGCCTCCTGTCCTGTATGAGATAATAGAGCTCTGGGTCCCTCTGAAGCCCCTTACCCTACAGATAACAGCACATACACACATTTACACCATCAAACCTCGCTGCTGAGCTGCCTTTGTTGAAAGCCACTGCACTGACTCATTTGAATGAGAACACATCATTTTCCTATGCATTTTTACTGTGCCTGTGGGTCTGTGAGAACAAAATACACAATCAGACAGGGTAAGGTAACTCAAATGAAGTGGCTAAATAAACACAAGCAGATCTGCCATGTCAGAATCTCTTGACATTCATTTGCAACTTGATGGTTGTATCTGAAAACAGGGCTAGAAGTGGCAAGTCAGCCTTTAGTCATTATGTTTAAACACAGCTGACTTATTTTACTATGATTATTTACTAAGACTAAGATTTCTATAGGCAAACTTTTATTTATAGTCTTTTTTTTTTGCATTATATATATATACTAAAATGTTTTATTTTTATTTCTGTATACTATTTTTTGTATATTTTTATTCTGTTAATTTTCTTCAATATGTATGTACTGCATGAATTTTTATTTACATACACTACCACAATAAACTACACTACAGATGTTTTGGGTAGGAAAGTTATAAAAAAGAAGAAGAAGAAGAAGAAATTAACATTTTATTAATTAAGGACACAAATTGATAAAGTCTGGCAGTAAAGATAATTGTTACAAAAAGTGAAAATCATAGCTTTTACAAAAATTAAGCAGCACAACTGTTTTCAACATTGATAATAATAAGAAATGTTTCTTGAGCAATGATTTCTGAAGGATCATGTGACACTGAAGACTGTGCCACTGAAGGAGTAATGGCTAGGTACTTTAAATGTAATATCTCACAATATTACTGTTTTTATCAAATAAATGGTGAGCATAAGGGATTTCTTTCAAAATCATTATTTCGAATTTTCTACTAAACATGAATACACATCTAAAGGTTGAATCTATATAAATCTAGAGATTAATATTTAGGTATGTAATTCATGACACTCATGAAGGGTCAGTCACTGGGACGCAAAACAGTGAGCGAACTCCAAAAATATCATTGCTAAACGATCAGTTAAGCAAGCAGCGAGAGTCTGTTATGAGCCTGATTATTCCTGCAACTTGAGTCTGCGAGCTGATCTGGAGCCACAATGGTTGTGAAAGAAGCAAACAGAACACAAACAAAAGCCATATAAATGTCCTTAAGTTATCTGCCTGGTTGCATGCTTTTAGCCTAATCCATTACTCCATATATTCTTTAAAGGTGACATCTCATACAGTTGGTTGAGAGAATGCCTAGTGTTTGCACTGCTGTGATCTATGCAAGAGTGGCTACTTTGCAGAAGCTAAAATAATATGTTTTTGTCAAAACAAAATCAGTATCCTTCCATTTGTGTTATTTCAAGTTTGTTGACTTTACTCTAAATTTAAAATGAGGAATATAGAAACAACAAAGAATACGTGGATGTGTCCCAACTGGTACCTAACTGATTTTATTTTATATACCGCAGAATATTTTAGAAACCTTCCACAGCATTTTCATTATATATCAGTTCCCTAAAGTAGTTTCAGGATATTGCATATAATGTAGGCAGTATTTATTTATATAGCATATAGAAAACGGGGGATGCTGTGGTCATTTAACCACAAGGCAAAAAAAACTATTATTATTAAATGTCACTGGGTTATGTTTTATGTGTAGAGTGATCAGATCATTGCTATTATGATAAAATATAAAAGTGCTTGTTGGCTATGAAGTTTTATATGAAATTCTAGAAGTGACAAAAGAGTGAAAAATTTAAGGGGGTCTGAATACTTTCCGTACCCACTGTAAATGTCCTTAAGTTATCTGCCTGGTTGCATGCTTTTAGCCTAATCCATTACTCCATATATTCTTTAAAGGTGACATCTCATACAGTTGGTTGAGAGAATGCCTAGTGTTTGCACTGCTGTGATCTATGCAAGAGTGGCTACTTTGCAGAAGCTAAAATATGTTTTTGTCAAAACAAAATCAGTATCCTTCCATTTGTGTTATTTCAAGTTTGTTGACTTTACTCTAAATTTAAAATGAGGAATATAGAAACAACAAAGAATACGTGGATGTGTCCCAACTGGTACCTAACTGATTTTATTTTATATACCGCAGAATATTTTAGAAACCTTCCACAGCATTTTCATTATATATCAGTTCCCTAAAGTAGTTTCAGGATATTGCATATAATGTAGGCAGTATTTATTTATATAGCATATAGAAAACGGGGGATGCTGTGGTCATTTAACCACAAGGCAAAAAAAACTATTATTATTAAATGTCACTGGGTTATGTTTTATGTGTAGAGTGATCAGATCATTGCTATTATGATAAAATATAAAAGTGCTTGTTGGCTATGAAGTTTTATATGAAATTCTAGAAGTGACAAAAGACTTTTCAGGTATTATTTTATGATGGTTTACATAGGTTCATTATACTTAGGATTTAAATCAAAGGTCATTTTTCAGGTGGTTTCACATTATAGGGATCAGTTAAGAATCAGCCCAATAATTTGAAAGTGCACAATGATTATGAAAAAATGGGGACAATACACAAGAAACAGAAATGGCGATATTTGTTTTCCTGTCCGTGTGACACTGACAAAACAGTCAAATGACCACAGTTCCTCCCAGCTGCAGTAAACATGATGTTAGATTTAAAATACAGGTCCTGCATTACTATCCTAACCACAGGGTTGAGAGGAACAAAAAATGAACCACATTGGTCAATATCGACCACTAGTCTGGATAGTGGGAAGGATGGATACACACTCAGAAATATCAGTGGACAAACTGAAGGTTGTTTGGAAGGAGAAGACACACGGATGAGTGAGTTTTGCACATGAATACATTAATTTCCTGTCATTGTCATATGCAGTATTAGCTCACATGTGTCACTCTTGGGAGTGTCTTTCTGCCTTTCTTCTTTGCTGTGATGGAAGGATGTGGTTTTCTTAAACATATGAAACATGCTCGTTGGTGCTTTTAATGCGTGGATGAGGAAGTTTGCGCAAGTGAATGGGAAGGGAGGTTCAGCTAGTGGTGATTTTATGCATCTGTCTTACCACTTAATCCACAAGTCACAAAGACATTTGGAGACATTTGATACCTATAAGACTTTTGAAGCTCTAATAACTGTAAATAAACTGGAATATTTGGACTTCAGCACTGGAAGAATGTCATTTTGTGTGTATTTCCTCACAGCTTTGATCATCCTCATGCAGCATTTTAGTGGTAAGTGTGTAATTTTCCACATTTATATTTCTATATAATCACAATATCTATCCCACTGTAATCTAAATCACAAATGTTCTTTTTATTGTATATAAAACAGTGTAATCAATATTTAAATATGTGTCTTTAGAGTTTCATTTCAATATTAAGTTGTTTTTGGGCCACAAATCTCTGTTGTTAATAGATACATTCAACTGAATAGATATTTAACTTGAACATACCCAGTTTAAACAAGCATGAATTTCCATTCTGGCTCAGGTTTGGAACAAGTCTAGCTGGATGATCAGATTGACCAGATATGAATTGAGCACTTGAGCTAATTTGTAACTTTGACTCATATATTCACTTTTCTTGATGTTTCAGCTGCTGAATACACTGCTCCACCAGCTCCTACACTGACCCAGACAGACACCAGAGACTCATCTGTGGAGTTGTTGTGTCAGGCTCCAGAAGGTTATGGTGGACTTGTATTTAAACTTTTCAAAATACACCAACTGATAGATAAAGTTGAGCATTCTAACAAACAGCAAGGGGCTCGCTTTATTCTTAGGGGAAAAGATACAGAAAAAGAGAATCTGTATTGCTGTCAGTATGACAGCAGCATGATCAGTTTCTATATGAAGCCAGAGCCGAAAGGTGAGTTTTTCTTTTGTTATATTATGTATACACACACACACACACACACACACTGGTTTCCATGTTTTATGGGGACATTCCATAAATGTAATGGTTTTTATACTGTACAAACTGTACTTTCTGTCACCTTACCCTAAACCTTCCCCTCAGACAAAACTTTCTGCTATTTTAGATTTTCAAAAAACGTTAAAAAAAAAGCTTGTTTCCTCATGGGGACCAAAAAAATATACCAACAAGGTCTAAATTTACTGGTATTACTGTCCTTGTGGGTCCTCATAACATAGGGAATACCAGGAACACACACACACACACACACACACACACACACACACTGTTTTATGCCATGGAATAATTGTAATGTTAGGGAAGCAGTAGTGTTACAAAGAACACACACACACACACACACACACACACACACGTCTTTCCTTCATGTCAGTGATACTGCATGAATCTCTGTTTGCTGAGGCACAGGTTTAGGTAGTTTGCAGCTTTGCTGTAGTGAGAAAAGTTTTGAGGTCACAGTGGTGTGACGGTTAAAGAAACAGCTCTTCCTACAGTTGAAAGTTTGTAACCACTAAACCAAACTACTCCACCCAGCAGTGCTTTACATCTTTAGTGTTGTATTTCAATCAGTATGTTAGCATTTCTGTCTCTTATCTTTTATTTGGCACACATACATTCTAAAAACGCTAAATGCTCATAACTGACTTTCTTCTTGCAGTAGTCTCAGTCAGTCCCCCTCCATCCCCTCACCTGGTGGTCGAGCCCTCTAGTGGGCATGTCATTCCTGGTGACACACTGTCATTCCACTGTCAGGCTCCACCTGACCCTCCTCAGGAACAGCCTCCTGAGGCTTTTCTTTTGCTCCGGAGAGCCAAAGGAAACCCCGGCTCCATGGTTGCTCCAGCACAGCTGGTGTCTCAGTCCCATGAAGCTCGCTTCAGTGTGAAGACAATGGGACGGGAGGATGGTGGGGAGTATGTCTGCCTCTACCAACTCAAATCATCAAAGATGGGACAAGTGAACTCCACAACCAGTCAGCCGGTACACATTACTGTCATAGGTGAGGAGACAACTGTCGGACTGATGTGTATGCTATTCTGACTACATCTTGTGTCCGTATTGCATGGTTATTCTTTTTTTTTTTTTTAATATCTTGGATTCTATACAACTAAGGCATTCATCACTATTCACCACTACTGATCAAACATATGATCGTTTCCAAAACGTCTTTTAGGACATTATTATAGATGTATTTAATTATATAACAATATTTCTATACACTCTTAAAAATAAAGGTGCTTAAAAGGTTCTTCACAGTGATGCCATAGGAAGCTGCTTGATATAAAAATTACTTCTGTATGAGCTACGCTTCTTACATTACAACCCTACTGACAATAGAAAATTGACTTTTTGCCCATTAAATTTCACATAAATTTAGCTAATATGACCATACCTTTATGAAGTTCCATGATTTATGATGTTGCCTATAAGTATGGTCACATTTTCCATTGCTCTGCAAAATTTCACAAATGAAATCCAGTCATTCTATTAGAAATCCGCTTAATCAGGAGTTTCACGTGAAAATATATCTCTATGGTATAGACAATGGATAATGGACTTTTTTTTATGTGACAACGTCTTAAAAGTATAGCTCACCCAAAAATAAAATTGTCATTTACTCACTCTCATGTTTTTGCAAATCTATATACATTTTTGCACCGGAGGAACCTTTTCATAGTTCGTAGAACTATTGGTAGAAGTTCCCACTTTTTGGCGTGTTCGCACCGCAGGAACTAGGAATGTATTTAGCTCTAGGAACTCCATTTGGGGGAACTAAATTAGCTCCTACTTCAGAGTAAGGTCTAAAACAGTTCTATAGGAACTACCAGTGATGATAGTGTACACTGATTGGCCAAACGTATACGAAACACCGGCTACCCAGCATTTTTAAAAAGCCATGTAAAAATATTTACTCCACGAAAATGGAAAACAGCAACAACAGCATTTACATGTTGTCTGCAGTGTTTTGTTCTTTTCTAAGCCTCGGTGATGACACTGAAAGTAGTCATACGAGATGTAGTCAGATTTTCATGCTCTTTCAATCACGCAAACTGTGTGTTCACATTCCATCTCTGTTATCACGAAACCCACGTCTCACAACAAAAACAGCTCTGATCACGGCATCCTCCATTCACCTGTTGTTGACGTTTGTAAATATCGCGAAAAAAGACGTCACGGTCGGCCACTTCACAGCTCCTGCTGCTGGTGCAAATGCAACCAGGAAAACGGCCCGAGGGCAAAATTGGTTCTCTAGGAACCACCATGCTGGCAAGTTCCTAGAACTGAACTGACAATGTTAATTTTTGGGTGAACTATTCCTTTAAGGAGGCATCTGCCTATGTAGACGGTAAGCAGCAAGGCATCTCACTTTGATGTGCACATTTGTGCTACTTTTAAGCAAATGTTTTCATGCCACTATTTCTGTTTGTGCTTCCTCTCACAGAGCTCCCAGTCCCCACTCTGTCCTTGTCCCGACACAAGGGTGAAGTTCTGGAGTGTGTTGGGTCACCCTCATATCCACAAGGCTTCTTCTATTTATTTCGTGTGGGTGTCCTGTCACCTGAGGTGACCCATCAGGCTTCCCTGACCCAACACAGTGCTAGATTTCCCATACCCACCCATTATGAACATGGTGCACAGTATCAGTGTCAGTACAGCGTGTCACTGGGCAAATCCAATGCATACTCTAGAATGAGCTCACCAGTAACTATCCCATGCATTACAGGTACTTTATGTATTATACTAAATGTGATACGATATCTCATTAAGTTACATTAATAAGATTTTAAAATCTGATTTATTGCATCCTTCTTTTAGGATATCATGAATGCACACCGACCTCTACAGGTAACATTTAAGTCATGCTATGGCTATCACAGTAATGCAGCAAATCAAATATGCCCAACTTAGTATCTAAAAACACTCTCCTTTGTCTTCATACATGTCTATGGAAAGGCAGCACAGATCTGGCTCTGATTGTTGGCTCTGTGTCTGCGGGTGTTCTGTTCTTCATGGTGGTGGCGATCTTGGGCTTTGCCGTGCACAGACATCGTGAGTATTAGATATCTAGTCTCTTATTTTAGTTGCTCATAAGTTTACATTGGTTAAGTCTAGTCTCTGATGAACTATAATACCCAGTGGTAATTATCTTCTCAATCCATTTAATTAAATACTGGAACAAAACAAAGTGAAAACACCCGTTGTTTGTTTTTCATTCATGCATGTAATCCTCATTAATATAAATTGAATTGTAATCTCTACCCATTTATTTGCAGTCAAAAACATGTCAGAGAGAAGGAGACAAAGGTAAGACACAATACTGAAGAGCGTACCTGATATTTAATTAAAATTGCATACATTTATTCATTGGGCAGACATTTTTATCTCATTTTGTCTCATGCAGACATTTTTATTACATGAATAAAAATTATCTAAACGATTTAAGTATACACTACTTTTCAAATTTTTTCTTAAAAGTCAATACGTTTATTCAGCATTAAATTGATCAAAAGTGACAGTAAGGACATTTATAATGTTAGAAAAGATTTCAGTTTCAGATAAATACTGTTTTTGTACATTTCTATTCATCAAAGCATCCTAAAGAATGCATCAGAGTTACCATAAAAATATTAAACATCACAATTTAAATTAAAATATTAAATGATAAAAAAGTATTAAATATTAAAATGATTTCTGAAGGATCATGTGACACTGAAGATTGGAGTATAGCACCCATCACAGCAATAAATTACATTTTAAATTATATTAAAACAGAAAAGTTAATTTAAATTAAAATAATACTTCACAATATTAGTTTTTACTATTTTCAAATTAGTTGTTGAAATATGAGACTTCTTTCAAAAACATTAAATAATCTTACAGACCTCAAATTTTGAACAGTAGTGTATATTTCTATAATTATTTAAATAATTCCAGTAAATATTTATATAGGTATTTAAAACGCTGATTATATGATTATGTATTATATTAGATATTTAGTTAATTATTATTTAATTAATATTTAGTTAATTATTATTTAGTTAATGTATATAATTATTGAAATCATTTTAATATCTTGGTACACTGCTAATATGAGTGATAGGAATGTTGTAAAAATATTAAAAAATATATATAATAAAACTTTTTCAACAGGGATCAAGAAAAATTCTGGCAACATGTTCACTCCAGAGATCATATTGTTGGTAAGTCACGGTGTCAATCTCTTCAGAGCAAGTGATTCACCTGGGTGCTCATCATCCAATCGCTATATCTCCCAATATACATGAGATATCTGATTTTGTGTTCAAGTTTACTGATTTTCTCTCACTATGATTTATTCTTCATCAGACCTCACTCTGCAGCGTGTTGACATTAAATCTGAGGTAATGATGCCCAAATTTCAAACCTTCTCTTGTGATTCCCTTTTCAAAAGGCCCCACTACAGTAGTATCTCGTATCTCGTTCCAAGTACTAAGGTTACCATTATGCTGATTTGTTTAGACCAGAATGAGAGAGGAAGATGAAGATCTTTTTACATCATGCCGTGTTTGCCAATATCCTCCTGTTGCATTATGTCCGCTGTGACAAATACTGACTTGATAACATCTCTTGCATGTTTTTAATATATGTGTGTTTACAATCTACAGGGCAGTGGACAAACACTTAGAGGAAGACCCTCATTTTCAGAGCCAATTTACGACTATCCCATGGCAACCTTTAAGAATCCCTCACTTTGCTGATCTTTCGATCTACTGTATCTATCGATCTATGCTACAGTGTATTTTGTGTTTGGCATATTCTGTATAACTGTAATGTTTATTTAAAAGCGAAAACATTTTGTATATTTGTAAAGTAATGTATGAGTAAACAATCTACTGTAGTTTCTGTAGTTCATGGTATTTTTTACTGAGATATGAATTTTTCTGTCAGCAGGGGGCTCTGGACATCCAGATATAATGTGAGATTGACATTCCAGCAAAGCATTGGCAGTTTTGAGTGTTGGACATTAAATCTTTGCAAATCGTTTTATAGATTTAATCACCTAATGCTGAAAAGTAAAAACTTTCATTTGCATTGCTTTTTTTTACTAATGTCACTTAGTTCAAGTGGTTCTTAAGAATTTATTTCAGTTCCCCTTTGCTTATCATGAAACTTAAACGGAAATTAATTTGACAGTCATGCCAGAACGACATTCCAGTAAGAAAATCAAACATCTATTATTTGATAATATAGTTTTTTTAAAGGGGTGGTTCATTGCGATTTCACTTTTTTAACGTTAGTTAGTGTGTAATGTTGCTGTTTGAGCATAAACAATATCTGCAAAGTTACAAAGCTGAAAGTTCAATGCAAACGGAGATATCGTCTTTTAAAATTCTGGCAGTTTAATGCCTACAAAA